ATGATGACAGAGGGTCAATCTACCGAGAAGACACAATCGTCAATATTTATGCCCCACACATTGGAGCACTTAAATATATAAATCAAATGCAAATAGAACTAGAAGGAAGTCTACGCAGAAGCACCACTGCAGTCAGGGGCTTCCCGCAGCGAACTCCTAACGCGGAGCCGTCACCCAGAGTTTCGGCAGGAGGGCAGCAGGTGCGAGCAAGCTCTTAGACGAAGTCAGCGGAAGAAGGGGCATGACAAAGGCTGAAGCAGGAATAGATGCAACAGGGAGCAGAAAGAACAGCAGAGAAAAAACTAAGCGTTGCGTCTTATGAAAGATAAACCAAACTGACAAACATTTAGCTAGACTAACTGAAAAAAGACACAAATCAATGAAATTCTACTTTTAAAAAGAATCTTTTTAAGGGAGGTGCTGGGGACTGAACCCAGGACCCCGTGTGTGCTAAGCATGCGCTCTGCCGCTGAGCTGTTACCTACCCTCCAGGTCAACAAAGTTTTAAATGAAGGAGGAAACACTACAATTGGTACCATAGGAACATAAATAATCACAATAGACTATTATGAAAAACTACACGGCAACAAACTGAATAACCGAGATGAAATGGGTCAATTTCTAGAAACATGCAACGTATAAAGAGTGAATCCCGAAGAAATAGAAAATTTGAACAATTATGAGTAAGGAGATTGAATCAGTAATTAATAACTGCCCAACACAGAGAATCTCAGGATGAGATGGCTTCCCTGGTGAAGCCTACCAAACATTTACAGAATTAATACCAATCCTTATCAAACTCTCAAAAACTCAGAGTGGAGTCAACACCCCTAAACTCATTTCACAAGGCCTCATTGCCCAATACCGTTGCGAGGTGTGGACACTACAGAAAAAGGAAACTGCAAGCCCGTATCCTTGATGAATGTGGATGTAAAAATGCTTAAACGCTAGCAGACCGAATTCAGCAGCAACTTAAAAGAACCGTACACCGTGATTAAATAGAATTTATCTGTGGATGCAAGAATGTTTCAATATATGCAAATTAATAAATGATAAATCATATTACAGAATAAAAATGCAATTCATATGATCATCTCAGTAGATGCAGAAGTATTTGACAAAACTGAATATCTGTTTATGATAATAATGCTCAACAAATTAGGTATAGAAGGAAAGTATCTAGGCTTCCCACTGGGGGGGAAGCCTCATTTATAATTCAAAATAATAAGTTTGTACTCACACACATTTGGGGGCAGAGTGTATACCATGTGAGTGACCCAAAAATTCCAAGACAAGAATTTAAGTTAAAGTGGTCCAAGTCAGTATAGCACTCCTGGAAACCTGGCCAAACTAAATGTAAACTCTCTCTGGGGAATGTACCTTAATCCTAGGACTCTAATCATTCCTAGAGCTAAACCTCCAAGCACCATGGGGTACAAGGTCACTAAACACACAAAGAAACAAGCTGCCATAACCATTCAAACCTGCAAAGATTACTGACATTGGAATTTTGTTACATATATAAAATGCGTATGTTTCACTTACTTTTAAAAACAGAAAAGGGGATTTGAAGTATAGAGAGCAGATTCCCCACAAAGTAACTGTTGGATTAGTATCTGATTTCTCAACAGCAACAATGAAAGCCAGAGACAAAAAATACTATTTTCAGCAGAATAAGAGACAGTAACTGTCAGCTTTAGCCAGCGAAATGATTCTTAAAAAATGAGGGCGAAATAAAGACATTTTCAAACGAAACTGAAGGAGTTTGCTATTACTAGATCCTGTATTTGGACCTATTTCTGGATAAGAAGTGACTACAAACCCAGTGGCTTAAAAGAAAACATGTGTTGTCGCACCCAGGTTGGCTGGGTCCTCTGCTCAGGATCTCACCAGGCTGAAATCCAGGTGTCATTCAGGGCTGCAGTCTCATCTGCGCTCCTGGTCCTCTTCCAAGCTCACCGGTTATTGACAAAATTCTGCTCCTTGCAACCGCAGAACTGAAGCCTCAACTGCTAGAGGCCACGTGGCCCGCTCCACAACGGGGCAGTGTGCTTCTTCAAGGTGAACAGGAGACTCTCTGACTTCTGACAAAGCCTGAACCCTTTTCGAGGGCTCACCTGATTAGGTCCGGTCCACCCGAAATAGCCTTTCTTTTTATTAACTCAAAGCCAACTGGTTTCTTGAGTCTTTACCTGGCCAACCATTTAAAATTTCAACCCCAGCCCCTCATCACGGTACTCCTTCTTTCCTTTCTTGATTCTTGTGTGTCCACAGCACTCATGACTATGGAATCTTATGACATATTTGTGTTTATTATGTCTCTCACTCTGCTAGAATATACACCCCTTGACTTCATGGATGCTTGTCTATTTTATCCATCACTGTAAGACAATAACATATACAACAATGTCTTGATCAGCTGACATGCCACAAACACATTTAATTAGTTAATTAATTAAAGGAATTGATGGGTATTTTACTGTGGGTCAAGAGCACAGATTCTTCATTTTGTTATAACTGCTGCTTTTTTAAAATTCTTGAAGTATAGTCAATTACAATGTGTCAATTTCTGGTGTAGAGCACAATGTCCCAGTCATGCATATACATACAATATTTGTTTTCATATTCTTTTTCATTAAAGATTATTACAAGATATTGAATATAGTTCCCTGTGCTCTACAGAAAAAATGTTTCTTACCCATTTTTATATATAGTGGCTACCATTTGGAAATCTCAAACTCCCAAATTTATCCCATCCCACCCCCTTCCCCCTCTCCACAACCATAACCCTAAGATTGTTTACTGTGTCTGCGAGTCTGTTCCTGTTATGTAGATGAGTTCATCAGTGTCCTCTTTTTTCTTTTTTTAGATTCCACATATGAGTGATATCATATGGTATTTTTCTTTCTCTTTCTGGCTGACTTCACTTAGAATGACAATCTCCAGGTCCTTCCATGTAGCTGCAAAATGCTTATTTATTTAATGAATGAATTAATGAATGACTCAAACCTTGGAAAGCTTTGAGGAACTCAAACACAGAAAAATGTAACTGAAAGAGGTGAAGAAAACTATGGTAGACATGAAAAAATACTGTACACACACACACACACACACACACACACACACAGAGCCAAATGGTTCTGGCTTTCATTACATCAGCAAATCCCTTTACCAGATATATAACATAATTGCAGGAGTAAACTGCCATCATGTTCAGGAGTTCTTCGCACACTCAGGAGGAGATTTTGGAGAATGTGTACACTAGGGGGTAGGAAACTTGGGAGCCACCTTAGAAGTCTGTCTACCACAAATCCTCATCAAAGAAATTTCTAAGGATATACTTCAAGATAGGAAAATAATCTCAGATAGAAGATCTGAGACATAAAAAAGAACAGTGAGCAAAGAAAATATTAAATATATGGGTAAATCTACGCAAATATCAACTGATAAAAATATCAATTTTGTTATTGAAAATAACAAAATACCTGATTTATGAAATTAATGAAATAATTAAAATACTGGGTTACAAAAGTATACAAATTCAAAGGGAATGATTAATGTTGAAGAATTCTAAGATCTATGTACTGTTTAAAAGAAAAATAAAGATATTGATTAAAGATACTGTTAAATTAAACATACAGGTTAAAATTTTTAGACAAACCAATAAAGAACAGAAATAGACTGTATACTTTCAAAACAAGAGAGGGAGGTTAAAAATGGAAAAATTACTCCACTGCACCCTAAGATGCTCCTTCCCAGCCTTCTCTCCTCACTCAGGGCCAGACTGGTCTCACTGTCTGGTGGGTCTCCCAGCTTCTCCCAGCTTCTCCTCCATTTTCCCTCACAGCTATTTCCCCTGTCAAGTTTCTTGTACACCTAATCCTCAATTAATTGACATTTGCTTCTCATATGATGTCCCTGGATGAACACAAATTCATTTTATAAAATGAATACACCCACGACAGCAAAACCAGACAATGGCAATATAAGTAAGGAAAAGGGCAGTATAGCCAGTCTTATTTATGGACGCAGCAAAAAGTTCCAGACGAAAGCATGAGCATACTAAATTTAGCAATGTATATGAAAGTAATACTCTGACCAAGTTGGTTTAAAAGCAAGTTTGGTTTCATACTAGAAAATCAATTAAGGTCTCGGAAAAGAAACAAGATTTATCATAGCTGAAAGGGGAGAAACAAATCTGTTATTATCCCTCGATGGTGTGATGTTCTATGTGGAAAAACTACAGATAACTTATTAGAATTAGAGAACTTAATAAAGTTGTCTGATACATGATTAATATATGAGTTTTAAAATACCACATGCAATAGCATAAAAAGCAGGGTACCTGGAATTACAGTAAAACTTATGCATGATCTTTATGGATAAAATTATTAAAAACTTTATGAAGGTATTAATGAGACTTAAATAGATGTAAGTACACCGTGTTCAGGTTCAGGGCCACTCGCTATCATACACACATCGATCCTCCCACGTAGATGCAGCGCAATCCCAAAAGGATTTGTTTGTGTGAAATTTGAAAAGCTGATTCCAAAAGTTATGCTGATGAGGGAGAGGGTGTGGCTCAGCTGCAGAGAGCGTGCTCAGCATGCACGAGGTCCTAGGTTCAATCCCTAGGACCCCCAATTAAAAAAAAAACCAAACTTCTGCTGATGAACAAAGACCCCAGAAAAGAAGCAGTGGGCTCTCACTCCGAGAATTCACCTGCCTTATCACATGACTCAGAGCCTAGTAGAAGCTGGCTCGATAGAAAGATGGAACCATTACGGGGCTCTTACCGAACCAGCTGGGACACAACACCTTGAGAAGCTGGGGTGCAGCCCTACAGCACGTGGTGTATGCCTTCGTCCAGAGGACACTACGTGGTGCTGCCTCCCTGAAGCCAGGACCCGAGAGGCACAGGTGGAAGCCCCCCTTTCCCTGGCGCCCTAATAGCCACCACCGGAAGGACTTTCTCTCCCCGTCATCACAACGTGGGGCTCGGTAGGTCTGGAGATCCTAGTGCCCAAGCGATGAACACTTCCATCTGAGAACTGACTATAAAGTGGAAGCTGAAACTGCCCTCAGGCTAAGCTGAGCTCTCATGCACCGGAGCCAACAGGAAGAGGAAGTGGTCATTACACCGAACAAGGTGATTGACTGACCCTTGGAACTGACAAGCAGAAGGCATAATCTGAGTGAGGGCTGGGAGTCGAGGGGAAGGTGGCGAGTCAGGGCGGGGGTCACAGAGGTTCAGCTCATCTTGTCTAGATGTGTTAGTCGGGCTGAAGTATCCCAGAGGCTTTGGGCGACGTGAGGATCTCGGGCAGCTTTAGGGGCAAGAGTCATCACACAGGAACTGCTAGAATGTTTTCCAGAAATGCCATGTAGCTCCTTTGCCAAGCTCAGGTAGAGCGCTGGGACTGCACCCTGTCTGCTGTTCTGCAGAGACATGGGGGTGGGGGGGAGGAGGAGGGATAAAAGCCAGGCAGGCTGTAGCCTGAAGGGACACACTGCGCAGCAGACCCCCTGCCCCAAGCCCTTCAGGCAGAGCCAGCTCCTCCCCACCCACCCTAAAGAAGAGGCTGAGCCAAAGATGAAACGATGGAACAAGAGAAATTCTTCATGGTCTCCGTGTATACAACGCCAGGGTCCACGGAGCTCACAGTCACACCTGCGAGAGGGAGAAACAGGTGTAGTGCAAAGCAGAGAGGAGGAAAGGGTTAAACATGGTTCTACAATGTGCGAAAAAGGGAGGACCCTACCAGCCCTGCTGGGTGGAGGTGACCCGGAAGTCAGGGTTCTGTAACTCACATGAATGGCGATATCCGACCAGGAAGGGGACTTCAGTGCTTGAAACTGTTGGATGAACTTTAGCGGGGAGCACAGTGGATGGTGTTGGTATTGGAAAGTACTGGGAGAGGGAGTTGTGGGCGATGAGAATTGGAAGAAAGGTTG